GTGGTGGTGGCGGTGTGGCCTTCGGCCCTTCCCGCCACTGTGTTTTGCCTTTGGGTCAGAGTTCTAATGGATGCCTCTTGAGGTCTCGTCAGAAGGGTCTCGGGGGCGTCTGAGGAGCATGCGAGGGCTCGATATGGCGATTTGTGTGTGTGTGTGTTCCCTCTGCGGCCTCTGGGTCCTCTCTGGTCATCGTCGCTGCGTCCCCGCCGTCGGCGCTGCTGGCCGCCGCCAGCGCCAGCGCCGGTGCTGGCGGGGGGGGGGGGGTGAACCTTCCCCTTCCCCCCCCCCCGCCCTGGGCCCTCTCTGGTCATACGTCCGCTGAGTCCCTCGCCGTTGGCGCTCTGCTTCGCGGCCCGCCAGCGCCTGCGCTGGCGCAGGCGCCGCGGGGGGGGGTTGGAACCCCCCCTCCTGGGAGGGGGGGGTGGAGGGGTTCGGGAGGGGGGGGTTTAGGGGGGACGGGGGTCCTCCTGGTTCTCATCTGCGGCGCCGAGTGTTGGGGGGAGGCCCACCCCCTTGTTCGAAACGCGCCGCCGAATTTTCCCAATGCAAGCGCACGTGAAACGCGCTCTCTCGCACTTGACGTCATTGAACTTTGTGGCGACATGATGGGTGGCGCCTTGCAGCAACAAGAAGGATTTCAGGAGGGGAAAAATCACACAGACACAGGAATCGTCGACCCCCAGGAAAAGATGGGAAGATATATGGGAAGCGGGGGGGGGGAAGACGAACACCCGGAAAATATGGGAAGATCTGGGGCATCCTGGGATTTGTTTGTGGCCTTTTATTCTTGCGTGCCTGGGCCCCTGCAAGATGCCTGGGCCTCCCCCTCCTCCGTCGGGGGCCCCCCCCCGTCCGTCCAGGCCCGAAGCCCTATAGGCCGGCGTGGCGCGCTGCCCCCTGGGGCAGGATGCGGTGTGGGGAGCCCCGGGCCTCCTCGCGTCACGGCAGACATGCAGAGGAGGAGAAGGTACCCATACCTCTAAGTCGGGCCTGTCCCCCATACAGGGGGATTTTCGACGAAAAATAAAACATGTCCCAGAAATTGTCAAAGAAATATTCCAAAAATAGTCCAGGGACTATTTTGGAAGTATTTTTTGCCTTGCTCGAGTATTTTTTGTGTATCTTTGATTTGTCGTCGAAAATCCCCCGTTAGGGGGACACGCCCGACATAACCATACCTCTACCCTTCCCTCGCTTACCCCTTTTTGGGGCGTCTTGGGCTGTTTTTGTCGTCCTCGTTGAATTCGCCTCGAGATCCTGGGCGGAGCGCAGCCCAGGAGAGGTCTGGGGAGTGGCGGTGTCGGTACCTTGTGTGGGCTCCCCAAGCGCGCGACGTGAGAAGGGACGCAGACCTGCCTCCATGGGGCCATGATCGAGGCCCAGGATCGTCAACAAGAACGGCCCAGGGAAAGGGTTTTGACTTCTGGGGTGCCCAGCTCTGCAGAGATCCCGCGACGTCGGATGCGAGCGGATGGGAGGAGAACGCACAGCGCTGCTTCGGAGGCGCGCAGGCGGCCGCGTGCCGAGCCGTCCCCGCCTTTGTCGGGCTGGAGCCTCGGGGTCCCGCGCCGGGGCCGGTTTCCGCAGGGAGCGGCCCACGGCGCGAGGTCCGGACGAGTGGTAGTGCCGAAGGGCCCGGGGTCACAGGCGCAGTCAGCCCGCATAGGAAGGATGGGCTACCTTCCCAAGGGTACCGTTGCAGCCTTGCCTCCTCGGTCCATGCTTGGCCACTGTCGTTGGCCGCGCCCCGCTCGAAAAGCTTCGAAATGGGCGTCCAAGGCCTTCGCATCCTTCTCGCGCATCCTGATGGCACGGGCCGACTGTATGGAGGAAACGGGCGTCGGAGGTCTTGGCCCTCCCCCTCCTGCGTAGCCCTTGGCCCAAGCTGCTCTTGCCAAGGCCGTCGTGCCCGCCCGTGCGCGCCAGCTTTCCGCAAGCCGTGCGCAGAAGACGCACGCAGTGACTGCCGCGCATGCGCCTCGGCGCCTGCCAGGGTGCCGCAGCCACGGGCGAGGCGGCCCCTGGCCGCGAGGGGAGCGACCACGCCCTGGACGAGCTGGCCAAGGCACAGGGCCCTGCAGCCGCCGCGCCCGCGACCTGGGCTCGGGCCTGGCTGCTGCCCGCCCCGCGGCCCGCCCGCCACGTGGCCCCCGCGTCCCCTGCGAAGGCGGCGCCGGCGGCCCGCCGCGCCGAGGCGCCGCTCGAGCCCGCGGCCGCGGAGGACCTCTGGCTGCCGATGAGCGTCCGCCGGGCCTCCTGCCGGCTGCTGCCGCCCAGCCTCCAGGCGCACCTGGACAAGGCCGCCCGCCAGACCGAGACGGCGGTGGGGGTGCTCCTGCCCGCCACGGTGGCGGTGCTCCTCCCGCCGGGCGTCCGGGGCCCCGGCGCCGTGCAGCTGGAGGCGAGCGTGCCGTCGGGCGCGTGCCTCTGCGGGGGGAGTGTCCAGAGCCAAGAAGTAGTCTGGGGGCGACTCTTGGGCTATCTTCATATGTTGTTGTTGTGGTTGTTGTTGTGGTTGTTGTTGTGGTTGTTGTTGTTGCTGCTGCTGTTGTTGTTGTTGTGTTGTTGTTGTTGTTGTTGTTGTTGTTGTTGTTGTTGTTGTTGTTGTTGTTGTTGTTGTTGTTGTTGTTGTTGTTGTTGTTGTTGTTGTTGTTGTTGTTGTTGTTGTTGTTGTTGTTGTTGTTGTTGTTGTTGTTGTTGTTGTTGTGGTTGTGGTTGTGGTTGTGGTGTGTGTGGTGTGGTTGTTGCTGTTGTCGTTGTTGTTGTTGTTGTTGTTGTTGTTGTTGTTGTTGTTGTTGTTGTTGTTGTTGTTGCTGTTGCTGTTGCTGTTGCTGTTGCTGTTGCTGTTGCTGTTGCTGTTGCTGTTGCTGTTGCTGTTGCTGTTGTTGCTGCTATGTTTCGTTTCTCCTCCAAGCTCCCGCCTGTGGGAGGATCTGTGATGGGGATCCGAGAAATCCGCGCGGACCTCCGAGTCGCCATGTCTCCGTCACTGCTCGCTCCCCCAGACGTGTGCTCGACCTCAGGCGAGCGGCCTGCGCCACCCGAGCGACCTCGCCGGCTGGTTCGGGGTCGCGGACGGCTCGGAGCTGGGCCTGGTGCAGCTGGCGGCGGCGGCGTGCCACGGGCCGGCGGGCCTGGGCGCAGGTCGGCGGCGAGCGAGGGGGGGGGGGGGAAGTGAGAGGGAGAAGGCCTTCTCGGCAGGCGGCGGGACGTCTCGGAGGCCCTCGCGCCTCTCGAGAGGCTGCTCGTCGTGCCTTCGGGGGAGGCGTGGAGCACCTTGTCGGGAGGGCCCGGGGGCTTCCGAGCCTGCTGAGACGGCCCGCCCCTGCTCTCTTCCCACCCGCGCTCGCCGCCGAGCAGGGGCGGGGGGCAGCCCTGGTCGTCGAAGGGCAGACAGCTCACCGAGCGCGTCCCACGACTCGCAGAGAGTACCTGCTCGCAAACGTCCGAAGCAAAAACATGTCTTCCTCTGTTCAGACGTGCGACGTCCGGATTTTTGCAGGACGGCGTCCCTGGAAGTCCCGACCCTCTCCCCGGGATCGGTTTTTCGTCCTGAGTAGTTTTTTGACGGCCCCGAGGCCCGGCGAGGGCCCCTGGAGGCCGAAAATCGCCAAAAACCTCCCGGCCTGAATTTTTACGACGCGCCCGCGGCGGATCCAGGCCATTTGCGAGCAGCTACTCTGCGAGCAGTGGAGCGCGCTCGTCGAACAGCGGCGTGAGCACAGGCCTTTGGAGGTCCGCGTGGACCGCCTCGGTCGGCGCCGGACCTCCCGAGCGGGGCCCCCTTCGGTCCGATCGGTCCGATCCGATCTCGATTCTGGTGAGCTCGGCTCGGCTGGGTTCCCAGACATGATCGCGTCGTAAAGACATCAAGACGAGAGGTTTTTGGCTGTTCTCGGCCTCCAGGGTCCCTCGCCGGGCTTCGGGGCCGTCCACAAACGACTCAGGACGAAAAACCGATCCCGGGGAGAAGGTCGGGACTTCCAGCGACGCCGACCTGAAAGAATCAGCACGTCGCATGTCTGGGTTCTGGTGCTCCGACGGTCGGATGCGGCCCGCTGCCGTGCATGTCGGGGCTCCTCCTCCGGGCGCGCGGAGCGCGCCTCGGGACGTCGCTGGCGGCGCCGCCCGGGCAGGATCAGTCAGCCTCCCGCGCCATGATGTTCCCCAATCAGGGCTTGCCTATGTAGGGGTCCTAGCTGATTCATATGGTTAGGTGAGGTTTGGCGCCGATTTCGGCGGCACGCCCGGGTGCCCGAGTGCCCTGGTGCCCGGGTGAACAGGTGCCAGGGTGCCCGGGTGCCCAGGTGCCCGGGTGCCCGGGTGCCATGGGTGTCTGGGTGCCCAGGTTTCCAGGTGCCTGGGTGCCCAGTAGCCCAAATAGCCCTGTAGCCCTATAGCCCTATAGCCCTATAGCCCTTCAGCCCTAATAGCCCTACAGCCCTAATATCCCTATAGTCCTATAGCCCTATAGCCCTATAACCCTGTAGCCCTATAGCCCTAATAGCCCTACAGCCCTAATCGCCATATAGCCCTATCACCCTATAGCCCTATAGCCCTATAGCCCTATAGCCCTATAGCCCCTATAGCCCTATAGCCCTATAGCCCAATAGCCCTAATAGCCCTAATAGCCCTATAGCCCTATAGCCCCTATAGCCCTATAGCCCTATAGCCCTACAGCCCTATAGCCGCATAGCCCCATAGCCCCATAGCCTTATAGCCCCATAGCCCTATAGCCCTATAGCCCTACAGCCCTATAGCCCTATAGCCCCATAGCCCTATAGCCTTACAGCCCTGTAGCCTTATAGTCCTATAGCCCTATAGTCCCATAGTCCTATAGCCCTATAGCCCTATAGCTCCATAGCCCTGTAGTCCTAAGAAGATGATGCTTTTGGTTTTTCTCCAGCGTCATTCGAACCTTTTGATCACCGGGAAGAGTTCCGAGCACCAAGAGAATACCGAAGTTGGATGATTTTCACGCGTCGGGCCCTGGGAGGCGATATTAATTCGACACTGTTTCGACACCGTCCTGGGTGCTCGAAATGATTTCTGGGATGTGGTCCTTAAGTGCGATGGGGGCAACCTAACTCCCGCGCTGCATCGGGCCGCATCGGCACGGGGTCGAGATCGAGGCGGAGCGGCGGCGCCGGGATGCACCACGGAGTCGCGACCGATCCTGCCCCGGCGATCGCGTGCTCTGCCGCCCCAGGCGTGTTTCGCTCGGGCGTTTTTTTTGTTTGTTTGTGATTTTTCCCTTTTCTTTTCGGCGAGGACCATATCGAGGAGCTTTTTGGGTCCTCGTGCGAGAAGATGCCCGCGCGAGGGCGGAAACAATGTACACGGGGCGAGGGGACCGTCCGAGCGGCGGCGAGGTGCCCGTCCCAGGCGCCGGCTCGGGGAGTCCCGCGCGGGCCTGTGAGGGCCTGTGCGGCACGCTGCTGCTCGTGCATTGCAGGTCAGGCGAGGGCCCTGTGCCAGGTGCGCCGCCGGCTCCTGCAGGTGCTGTCGCGGCAGATTCGCGGGGCTGGCGCCGTGTCCTCTGCACCCCACCTCAGGTCTTTGGCGCTCTCTCGGCTGGCGGTGCCGAGCTGGGGAGCACGCAGAAGGGCCAGCGGGTGAGAAGCCAGGAGGTCGGTGAGGCAGAGGGGCAGGACCAGGAGGAGGAGGAGGAGGAGGAGGAGGAGGAGGAGGAGGATGAGGAGGAGGAGGAGGAGGAGGAGGAGGAGGAGGACAAACTAGGAGCGCTCGCGTCAGATCTGTCGTCATAATTACCCCTCCCTCCCAACCCTCACCATCCTTTCTGCGCTCAGGCAGATGTCGAGCAAGGCAATGATCCCGAGAGGGTTACGATGCATGGTAAAACACGACATAGCATGGTATAGCATTGCGTAGTGTATCATTGCATCACAAAGCGTAACATCACAACGCATGGCATCGCACAGCGGAGCACAACGCAGCATCGCATTGCATGCCACGGCATGGCACCAGGTGCCTTGGAGAGCAACTGGCCCGTGTGCGAAAGGAGAAGCTCGCTCGCTCGTTCGCTCGCTCGCTCGCTCGTGCAATACGCCGAAGCGCGTGGGCGACAAAGCACACCGCCGGGCCAGCCGGAGAAAGGCATGTCTGGAATCCTGGCTCCACGTCCTGCGCAACCGTGCTTGCCCGATGTGGGCGCTTCCGAATGCCAAGTGCCGTCTGGTAGGGGTGCTGTAGTAGCGTAAGGCCCCCCCCCTTCCTGTCGACACGCTGACTTGCGGTCCCCGAGCCCCCTTCCAAGTCTCCCTGGGTTCCCCGGACAGCTCTGCACGAGGCGTGGCGGATGGCCCGAAGACTTCCGGAAGCTCTAGGGAGCGCACAGAAATGGCCGACGGCGCCATCGACGCAGACGACAACGGCGGCGGGGGCAGCTGCGGCGGACGAGGACGGATGTCAGGGAATAGTACGGCGGGCTGCCGTGCTCGATGGTTTGGCTTCCTTGAACACTCGGCTCGCACTGGGCGCCTGGACCCCTCGCAGGGTCAAGTCGGATCGGCGTTTTCCAGCCGGATCGTTTGTTCAGGTCCCCGGGGCCCGACGACGGCCCTCAAAATCAACGAATCGACACCGAATGTGGAATCACTTCCAACGGTTCTTCTGGGGGACATTTTTTTATGATTTTTGGGCTTATTTGGAAGGACCGCGAACCATGCCGTGGCATGGCGCTGGAAATGATGAGGCCAGCGCTGCAGCGGGAGTACAATTCGGAACGAGCGGATGCACGGACATGAGGCCAGCGCTGAAGCGGGAACACGATCCGGAGGACGCGTATCTTGACGTAGCATGGCGTGGCGGAGCCCCAAATGGGGGCTTCTGCGGCCTATTTGGAAGGACTGATACCCATGCCGTGGCATGGTGCTGGAAATAATGACGCCAGCGCTGCAGCGGGAGCACAATTCGGAACGAGCGGTAGACAGAGAATTAGGCCAGCGCTTCAACGACAGCAGCATCTGGGAAACAAAACCCAAGCGAAAACCCGTTTCCCGGTAATCCTGTGTGTAAAAAGCCAGAGCGCGGAGGGGGTCCGAATATTTCTGGGACGTCACCAGGGGAGAGAGGAGAGCAGCATTCAGATCGAAAAATCGTGGAGGACGGCGATGACTCAGGAGGCCGAGGAGGACGAGGAAGATATGGAGATGACGGACGAGTACGAGAGGGATGTGGCTGGGGAGGAGGAGGAGAGGTTGGAGGTTCGATCGAGCTTGACTGTTCCATGTTCGATCGGCCCTCACCACACACACGCACACTCCGGAAAAGGCGGCCCCCCCGAGGCCACAGAGCGCTCGAAGACAGCCCCCCGGGCCCAGAGGTGCCCGGCGGCCGACCCTCGCAGTGCGATCGGATGTCGGCGCTCCGAGTGCCTCGGGAGAGCCTGGCGCACGCGGCGCTTTCGTGCGAGGCGGCGCCGCCTCCGACTGCTGCCGCGCCACGTGCATCGCTGACGGCAGGGAGTCCTGGGCACGGTGAGCGCCGCGCACTGCTCGTTTTTGTCCCAGCCCTCCTTGGTTGGGCATTCGTTTTGAATAGAGCACTGCGGTCTCCAGTCCTTCTCCTCCTCCTCCTCCTCCTCCTCCTCCTCCTCCTCCTCCTCCTCCCGCCTCCCGTCTCCCGTCTCCGTCTTGTCTCCTCTTGCCTTGCGCGTACCTTGAGTGTGTGTGTGTGTGTGTGTGTGTGCATCCTGGCTGCGGTACCTCTTGTGTGTGCATCTTGCCAAGGGGCTGCGATCTGCGACACTGTCGCCACTTTCGAGGTCTGCTGGTGGGTCCAGCGGAGTGAGGCACCGCGGGGACCTGAGCGAGACCTCGCCGTCCCTGGGGGGGGGGCGCGATCTGCGACACTGTCGCCATTTTCGAGGTCTGCTGGTGGGTCCAGCGGAGTGAGGCACCGCGGGGACCTGAGCGAGACCTCGCTGTCCCTGGGTGGGCTCTGGAGAGGGAGAGCTGCTGCGGGACACGTTAGGCGCAACGGGCGCATGGCACAGCCAAGGGGGGTGATTTGGTATTACGTGGCCCGTACATCTTGATCGGGGGCCTGCGAGCCTTCCGATTGCTGCTCGCAAAATCATATGCGTCCATGTTACGTCATCGCCCCCGTTGTAGCAATCTTGATGTACTCATGCCCCGCATTGCGCAAGGGTTGGGTACGTCGCCAGGGTAATGTTGCTGTTGTTTGCATCCTCGGCGCGCGATGGTTCAGCGCCCGACGACCAGAAGTCCGAGGCGTGATGTGCGCCGCGCCCCGTGCATGCCGTGCTTCGCCGACGAGAGGCGCGCGGCGCGATGTGCGCCGCGTCGCATGCCTGCCACGCGTGTCGCTTCGCCGACGGCGGGAGCCCAGGGTGCGACGTGCGCCGCTCTCCAGTTCCTGCCACGCGTTCTGCGTTGCATGGTCTGACACGTAGGATGGAGGGTCTCGGATGGTGGCGCTCGTCGACGAGGGGTGCAGGTGCGATTTGCGCCGCGTCCCACTCCTGCCGCGCTTTTTTCTGTGTCGACGAGCAGCGCAGGGGCCAATGCGCGCCGCGTCGCATCCCTGCCACGCATCTTGCACCGCCGAGGGCAGAAGTACAGAGCGCGATGTGCGCCGCGTCTCGTTCCTGCCGCGAGTTCTGATTCGTCGACGATTGAAGTCCAGGGCGCGATGTGTGCCGCGTCCCACTCCTGCCGCGCAATTTGCATAGTCGACGGCAACAGTGCCCACCTTGAGACGGAGCACGTCCACTTTGTGTCTCTTAACGATGAGAACAGAGAGCCGAGGGTCCCAGATGTTGCGGCCATCGGCTGTCTATGTGTCAGAGTGGGAACAGCAACGCCAATCATATTGAAGGAACATGGATGGGAGCTAGTGTCAAGCTAGTTAGGTCGAGCGAGCGAAAGGGCCCGCATATCCCCACCTCCCTCCGACATTAGAATACTATATTGCGGCGCAGCTTGGTATTGGGCTTGGACTGCGCTCGCAACTACCAAAACGGAAGGCGCTCGCGTGCGGCCCCCGCTTCCGACGACTGGGCGAACGGACAATCACGCGGGCGCGCAGGGGCTGGAGCGGCAACATATCCGACGGGCGCGGCGAAGACGATGCATGTGCTGCGCTGACGCAGCACTGCCACTTTTTTCACTCGCAAGCTGTGCGGCGCGTGGGCGAGGTCGGAAGTTCCCCCCGCTCTCGCGCGGCCCCGCTCGCCGCTGTCTCTTTCCTGCGACCTTCGGCAGACGAACTGCACGCCGTGCGCCCGTACGGGAGCGCCACTGCGAGCGAACTGCGCACGGAGCCTGGGCAGGGGCGACGAGGCGCCTGCTCGTGCGACAGGGCCCTGGATGTTTCCTTGGCTGATGAGGGCGGCGGTGATATGCATGGCCACGCTTCAGTGGGTGTCCCACCGGCTTTTAGGCCCAGGTTTTTTTGGTTCAGCGGTTCCCTTAGTATCCAATGCCCTCACCGTAGAGAGAAGCAGAGAGAGAGAGAGAGAGAGAGAGAGTATGTGAGGGAGGGAGAGAGGGAGAGAGAGAGAGAGAGAGAGAGAGGAAGAGAGAGAGAGAGAGAGAGAGGAAAGGAGACGGAGAGGACAGCTTTTGCAATGTCTCTTTGGCGTCTCGGGTCCTTCTTGCAGCCTCCCTGGGCTGTCTCTGGGCTCTATTGCGGGGTCCCCGCTGGACGTTCGAGTGCCCTCCTGAGACGTCTGGGCGTTCCGAAATCATTTGTATGGCGCGTCAGCTCGACAAGCAAGCCGCGTTGAGCTCATCGCCTCTCCTGCCTCTTTCCCAGCGGTGCTCCCCAGACGAGCTGAGCAGGGCCGCTCCCCCCCCCCGACACAGCCGGGCGCCGGCTCGGGGACCACCCCGCGCCCGCCCGCGACACTCGGCGGACGACGACGACGAGGCCACGAGCGCAGAGGTCAGGAGGGGAAAGAACACACAGACATAATTATTTGTCGACTCCCAGAAAATATGCGAACATATGGGAAGTGGGGGGAAGACAGAAACCTGGAAAATATGTGAACATATGGGGAATCTTTTTATTTGTGTGTATTTATTTGTGTGTTTGTGGGCCCCTTCAAGAGGGGGGAACGCCCCGCCAACGCCGACGACGACGACGCGGCGGGGGGGGGCAGTCCGCCCGTCGGCCGCGTGTTGGGGCGGGGCCCGCGCGCGTCGGGCGCCCCCCTCGGGCGCGATGGGGGCCCCGATGGGGGTGGGCCCGCTCGTGGCCTCGAGCCAGGCCGCGGTGCGACGACGAGGGCACGAAGAGGCTCTTGTCTCCGTGCGCTTGCCCCTCGGGGCCTCTTCTTGGCCGCCTTCGAGCCCTCGCCGGCCTTGCCGTGGTCGGCGACGACGAGGGCACGAAGAGGCTCTCGTCTCTGTGCGCTTGCCCCTCGGGGCCTCTTGGGGCCACCTTCGAGCCCTCGCCGGCCTCGCCGTGGTCGGCCCTGCGAGGTTCGGCCCTCCCCATGGGCCGTCGCGAGGCGGCGGCCGTCCCGGCGCCGGCCCGGGCACTCGAAGGAAGCGCTGTGGCAGGCAGCTTCGGGCGGCCCGGGGCAGCGCCCTGGCAGGTGCCTTCTGAGCGCCCAAGGATCGGAGGAGGATGCCGCTGCGCCTCGAAGTCCGGGTCAAAACGTATTTTGGGAGAGGCCTGGCGGGTAGCAGCATCGGCATCTTCGGCCCCGAAAGAAGCGTTGTGGCAGGTGCCTCGGGCCGCCCCCGGGGAGAGCGTCCTGGCATACAGCTCTGGGCGTGCACGGGAAGTGCCCCCCCCGGCGGGTGCAGCGCTCCGCCCTCGCACGGGGACGGGTGCGGAAGTGTAGGCAGGACGCGCAGCAGTCGCCCTTCGTCTGGGGAGCACATCGCTCCCGGCCGCGTTTGCCACGCCCACGTTGGCCACGTTTGCCACGCCCACGTGTTGGCTGTCCGTGCAAGCAAATGCGATCATCAGGGGTGGACCTGAACGGTGTTTTGGCGAATTCGTGGACCGGTTTCGTTTCGACTTCGTTTTGCGTTAAAGGTGGATTGAAGACAAAACGAGGGAAAACGAAAACGAAACGAAAACGAGAAACACCGTTTAGGTTCAGCCCTGGCGAGAATCCCCCCTCCCCCTACCGAGGGGTTTGGGGATGGGAAAGCGTTCCTCTGCCTGGCACCCGAAGGGTCCGCGGATTTCGCCCAGCTGGAGCATGCAGCTCGTCGAGGTATCCGAAATGGACGACGACGAGAAGCTTGACGTAGTCGTGCCAGGGGCTCGCATGTGGCCGCTGCACGATCCCATGCTGACCGAGGCGCTGCTCTTGAACGTTGCTCTGGAGCGCGCGTCTGGGATCAGAAACGTCTGCCGCCTCTGCCGAGGAGACGAGTTCCCCAGGCTGCTGCGCGTGCACTACGGCGAGGAGGCGGCCTTTGTCTTCGCGTGGCAGTCTCACTACATCCACTCGCTCGCGCTCTTCCTGGCCGCCTCGCTGCCTTTTATCGTCCACAGGACGATGCTGGGGAGGGGAGCGGTGTCACAGGCCCTTCTGCCGCAGTGCCTCCTGTCGGTGCTCTTCGGCGCCCTGGTCACAGAAGGATTCGGCGGTGCGCAGGAAATGTTGGCATGAGGGGGGCGGCCTCCTGAGAAGAAGCAGGCGGCAGGCGGCTTCTTGGGCGCCTTTATGCTTTCCCCCCCCCGTCCTCTTAGCAGGCCGTCCCCCTTCTCCTCTCTTCTCCCCCCTTCCCCCTTCCGGATCGGACGAAAGGGGGCGATATGGGAAGCGGGAGAGGCTCGCAGTCTGATGCCTGCAGCTGGTTTCGGCCCCGCTGCCGGGCCTGACGACTCTGGGGCCTCTCAGGAACCAGGTCGGTTGATTCGTCGTCTCCTCCCCCTGTGACATCACCCGCTCCATTTCCAGCACGAGGGAGGAGGGATGAAGTGGGCGGGAGGGGAGGGACGGCGAGGACCGAGGGATGCTGTGGGAAGGCACAGCGTGATTCTTTGGGGGGTGTTTGTTGGTCGATTCTCCGGCTCTTCACGCCCGCCCTGTTATACGGAGGAGGAAAAGGTACCCATGCCTCCACCCTTCCCTCGTTCTCTCCTTTGTGGGCTTCCGGGGAGGCCCTCGTCGCCACCGCTGGATTCGCCTCGAAACCCTGGTCCGAACGCACCCCGGGAGAGGTCCGGGGAGTAGCTGTGTCGGTACCTTTTGAACTCCCTCGATTTTCTGTTTGGTCACCACCCACCAAACCACCCCAACCCAACCCGAAGGCTCAGATTTACCCTCGATTTCCAGTGGGGGGGGGTCGGGAAACATAGAAAAAACATGTATGGAACCCTTACCCCCCCCAACCCGAAATTCGGGTCTTCGGGTTGGGTTGGGGTGGTCTGGTAGGTAGTCAGTTTGGGCATCCCGCCACAGGATGGCGCCACAGGGCCGAGTGCCTGCGCCAGGCGTGGCGGGCCCACGCGGACCCCTTGGCCCAGTGGCGGCAGCTCGTGTGTAGGCGGACTGGCCGCAAGTGGGGCGGCTGTGGCCCTGGGCGCCCCCCCCTGGGGGCCCATCGGCTTCGAGACCCCTCTTGAGAGTTGGAGCCGGAGGCGAGGGAGGAGGAGGGAGGAGGGAGGGAGGGAGGGAGGGAGGGAGGGAGGGAGGGAGGGAGGGAGGAGGAGGGAGGAGGGAGGGAGGAGGAGAGGAGGAGGAGGAGGAGGAGGAGGAGGAGGAGGAGGAGGAGGAGGAGGAGGAGGAGTTGGAGGAGGAGGAGGAGGAGGAGGAGAGGAGGAGGAGGAGGAGGAGGAGGAGGGAGGGAGGAGGAGGAGGAAGAGGAGGAGGAGGAGGAGAGAGGAGGAGGAGGAGGAGGAGGAGGAGGAGGAGGAGGACGAGGAGGAGGAGGACGAGCTGGTCCAGGCCTGGCTCCGGCCAGCAAAAAAGGGGGCGAAGGTTCGCGTTTCTGGGTTCGAGGAGGTTGTTTCGCCGAGGCCCCTTTGGATTGACAAAAACGGACCTGGGGTGAAAAACTACACCAGACAGACCGCAGGAGAGAACAACAACACGCACACACACATACATGATTTACTGTCGATTCCCAGGAGAATATGAGGGAACATGGGAAGTGGGTGGGACGACGGAGCCCCAGAAAATATTGCAAAATTTGTGAAATCCTGGGTGTGTATGTATTTGTGGATCTCTGGGTCCCTTCAAGACCGCAGGAGGTGTCCCGTGACCGATGTTGAGCGGATTTGCCTCTATCTTCCCTTCTTGATCGACTTCCTCGGGGCCCATCCAACTCAGACCCCCTGGCCGCATGCACCTCGAGAGATCGTCGACATGATGGGTTTCCCCCAGGGGGGTATAGTCAAGGCGCTGATTGAGGGCCACTGTGGGCTCACGAGGGGCTTTGTTTTTCGGGCTGTTAATTCCAGGTCGGGGAAGCTATTCGTGGCCCAGGCTCGCCGCGCGGCCAGAACAAAACCCTTCGCATCTGATTCCCCAAGCAGTGCTTGCACTTGGGGGTTCTTACTTCTGGAATAAGGATGTGGGCGACCTGTGCGTCGGTCTGGCGTCTATGATGTCGCCGTCGTCGCCCCGTCACCGCCTCGTCGCCGCCCATCGTCTTGGCCTGTGCGTCGGTCTGGCGGTTGTGTTGTCGCCTTTGCTGCCCTATTGCCGCCATTGCCGCTCGTCACCGCCGTTCGATTGCATCACACCGATTGCTTTGCATTAGTTTTCATTTATTTGTGTTCATTTGCATTGCTTAGCATTGTTTTGCATTGCTTTATCTTGCTTTGCATTGCTTTGCGATGCCATGCTTTGCATTGCATTGCGATGCTTTGCTTTGCTTTGCTTCACGTTGCATTGCGTTGCCTCGCCTCGCTTTGTGTTGCTTGCGAGGCTTTGGGTTGCACTGCTCTGCGCTGCATGGCACTGCTTCGCATAGTATTATCAGCATAGATGACTGCACATACATTGCACCACATAGAATGCACCACATAGATAGCACCATGTAGGTTCCCCTTTCTTAAAACAGAATGGAGTCCCCCCTGGGATTATCCATTCACTTTTTCGCATTGCAATGCGAATCTGACCCTGCCCCATCGTCCATCCTAAATATGAACTCGCACCATTCAAGGGGGGCCTGTATCGCCCCCTCCCCCCCCCCGTGCCCGCCATCCTTTGCAACAAACACTATGTGCGCGCATTCGTTTATAAAAAACCATCAGTTTTGCATAATTGCTTGCAGTTGCAAAAAGACGAAGTGCACACGCGCGCGTCGTTGCGCGCGCAGGCCGAAATCCTTTAAACATCTTCGGTTCCGCAAGGATTTCAAAATCGAGCGTTCACAACACATATAAAACACATAGGGTTTGGCAACACGGATTTCCCCCAAAGATGTCCGCGCGCTCTTGCGTTTTCTTAAACAATCATTTTTTTCATGACCTTCAGGAAAGGCTACCAAGCGGGCTTCGCGCGCGCGTGTCGAACTCGTTCGAACGCCCTTGCGCGCGTGACGTCTCGAGAATCTTTTGCAACGAACAGGACGAAGTGCACGCGCGCGCGTCGTCGCGCGCGCATGCCCGAATCCGTCAAACACTTTTTTGGCTCGTAGCGATGTCAAAATCGAGTGCTCAATATATATATATATACATACACACATATATGTATATGAACACATGGCTTCGCACCAGCCTTTTTCAAAAAAGCGAGCGTTCGCGCTCTTGCGGGTTCTTCAGGAAGCCATCGGTTTTTCAACCTGCCAATGGATTTGTACCCAAAGGGGTCTGTGGCGCCGCATGCTGAAATCATTCGAACGCCCTTGCGCGCGTGCTGGGAGGGGCACGGTCCGTGTCAAATGATACAATGCGGGCCACTCTCGCGCGTCGGCCGCGCGCGCATGTCGAACTCTTTCCAAAACCTTCATCCTCGACGCGAGAACGCCGTCATCGTAGTCGGCGCGGTCAGCATCGGCGCCCGCTGGTCGCGCACATCGTCACCAGCATCGCTGCTGTCATCATTGTGCTTGCAGTTGTCGGCGTTGCCATGATACCGCGCCCGCCCAAGTCGCCAACTCGCTCTGAAGTGCCCGCTGCGAGGTGCCCAGCGGTCAGCGCCACCGCGGCCACGTCGGTCGCGCCAAACCAGGTGGCCGCTGCGCGCGCGTGCTCGGGTTGGCACGGTCGCGGAGATGCACCAGCCCACGCGAAGAACTCATCGCAATCGCCACCGCTTGGGTTGCGAAGGCCAAGTTACGGGTGGGTGGGTGGGGTGTTTGCAAGAGCATGAAGCGTGTCAGTTCGTTTGTAAAATGTAAAATCAATTGCGCCACGTAGATTGCTCCGCGTAGGTTGCGCATTATATGTCAGCCAGCGTGGGCCCCAACGAGTGAGTTTCTAGCAATATAGATGGGGCAGTCTACGTGTTGCAGTATGTGTTGTGCAGTCTATGTTGTGCAATCTATGATGTGCAGTTCTGTGTTGTGCAATATTTGTGGAACAACCGTTTCTGTGCGATGTATGTGGTGCACTGTGTGTGGTTCATTCTTGGATTGTGTAACCTTAGTGGTGCGCAGCCTACGTGGTGCAACATATGTGGTGCTGGTTGACAACTTCCATGCTGTTGCAAACGTCCCACCCGCCCGCCCGCAACTTGGTTTGCAAAACCCATGCGGTGTCGATTGCGATGAGTGCTTGGCGTTGGCTGGTGCATCTCTGCGGCCGCGCTAGCCCGCGCGTGCTCGCGCGCGCAGCGGCCAGCATGTCTGGCGCGACCGACGCGGCCGCGGTGGCGCTGACAGCAGGGCACATCGCAGCGGGCAATTCGGAGCGAATCGGTGACTTGGGAAGGCGCGGCATCATGTGGCGCGAGAGGCCCGCTTGGCACGATTTGATGAACGCGCTGAACACTTGTAACTTTTCTTAAGAATCCGCAAGGCCGCGCGCGCAGGTTGTTTGTGAAAACTGAGTATGCAAAGCCGTTCGTTTGATGTGCTTCTTGGGCGCTCGTTTTTGACGCGCGCACGAACGAGCGCATGATTTCGGCGCGCGCGCGACGACGCGCGCGCGTGCACTTCGCCCCTTTTTCTTGTTTTCCGTTCTTGCGGCTGCGCGCGCGCAGGGCCGCTCGGGTGATCTCGACGTGCGCGCGCGAGAAGCCGGTCTGGTAGCCTGTTCTGCTAATGTTGAAAAACCAATGGTTTTAATTTGAATTCGCTAGAGCACGGGCGCATTTTTTGGAGGGGCCCCGTTGCGAAACCGTGTGTTCGTATATGTTTTCGTGATTCTCGGTTTTGAAACCCTTGCGACATTTGAAGTTTCTAGACGGTTTTAGCATGCGCGCGCGGCGACGCATGGCCCCCTTCTTTGGAATGGGATTCTCGGAAGGATTGCTGCGTTTGATAAACGAGTGCGCCTGCGTATTTTTTCCGGAGGATGAGTCGGGAAACCGATGCCCGCCGGCTTGGGAGTGGTACGGATTCATGTTTCGGATGGACGGTTGGGCAGTGCAGTGCAATGCAAAAGAGGTGGCCTGTTTACCCCTGGGAAGGGGCGGTGGTGGTAGATCCTGGTGCTCTGTTGGCGCGGGGAACATGTGTGGCGCGACCTATGTGGTACAAGTGCTCTCTGCAAATGAGCTGACCGTTTCCATGCCCGTGCAAACGCGCCGCGCACCCACCCGCAATTTGGTTTGCGAAAGCCATGCGGCGGCGATTGCGATGAGTGCTTGGCGTTGGCTGGCGCGTGTCCGCGGCCGCGCTAGCCCGCGCGTGCTCGCGCGCGCGGCGGTCTTAGATTGGCGCGACCGACTCGGCCGCGGCGGCGCTGGCCGCTGGGCACTTTCCAGCGGGCACTTCAGTGCGAGTCGGTGACTGGGGCGGGCCCGGTATCATGGCGACGCCGACAGCGGTGGGCGCGACTGCGAGAGTAGCGATGGTGGTGACGGTGGCGTCGGTGACGACGGCGTGGCCAATGGCGGCGCCGATGTTGAGCTCGCCCGCGGATAACGATGGCGACGTCCTCGCGTCGGCGACGGCGATTCTTCGAGGGGTTCGACGCGCGCGCGCGGCCGACGCGCGCGAGTGGCAGGCGCGGCGTTATTTGGCGCGGATCGTGCCCCCCTCCCCAGCGCGCGCGCAAGGGCGTTCGGATGTGTTCGACAGGCGGCGCGAGGCGCCCGTCCGGCAGAATTTGATCTCCTGCGCGAGCCGCATGGCTGCGAGCGCCTTTCTGTGCATGACAACTGACGTTGCAAAGCCATGTGCTATGGCGTGTTTTAGGGGGGCATTCGTTTTTGACGCCCTTAGGGCCCCAGAGGTTTTCGATTGATTGCGGCGCGCGCGCGATGACGCGCGCGCGTGCACTTCGTTTCGTGTGTCGCAAGGTTTTCTTGCGGCAGCACGCGCGCGCGGGCGTTGGGGCGATGTCGGCGCGCGCGCGCGAGGGGTCCGCTAGGTCGCATTGCGTGACCTAGTAGAAAACATGTTTGTATGTGAGCATGCACATAAGCATATGT